CAACCTGCAAATCATTGCGCTTCTAAAATTCTTCTTCGAGACCTCAGCTCGGAGTCTGTGGGTACATTGATGACCTGCCTGGACATGAGTATGATGCACGATCGTGGCCACGTTCCATACAAGAGCTCAGCGTGTGCACGGCTTTTTTGTATTGAAGAGTCCCATGCCTTCCATTAGCTATGTATCCGCCAAAACCGAGCTCGGCGATACGGACTATGCCGTCCCTGTTTATGCACTTTGGTCTTGCATCACGTGAAGGTCTTCTTTTGGGGTACTAACAGAACTTGTCGTCCTGCAGGCGTATTCTAGGCGGCTTTACTGCAATCATACATGCATGTTCTCGACGTCACAAACCGGCATTGCTTCGATCTGTACTTTAAGTACATATGGACAAGAACCTCCACATTTAGATCGTGCTGCAGAGTACTCAATGCGAAATTGTCTATAATTTCATACCAAGCTCGCAGGCCTTCAGGTTGGGTCAATGAACAAAGGCCTTGCTGCTAACCGTAGGTAGCGATGTGTGTGGCATGTCGACTGATCATGTGGAAGCAATTGAAGTGGGAGGAGTAGCATCGATCGACAACGTATATAATCGGTGTCACCTCGGCGTATACACGTTAGAGGGAAGAAGTCGCAGTTGCATCGCACATCTGAAAGATGGCGTTGGTTCGAACAGGGTCATCTCGCCGCGAACGGACTTCTCTCGGCCGAAACCTGCATGACCAACCCCGCGGTCCTATCGCAGCTGCCGTTGGTTGACCGCGAGTCAGCCGCGCACGGGCTTGACATCTCTGTCCATGAGCGCATCGCTGCATGGATGTCTTCTCGCCCCATCAACCTTCCACCACGAAAACCCGCGTCAGACTTTCTGGCGATGATGCGGTGCCCTAGGATCATATGTGCCTTTTGGTCACCGCGATGATACGATGTTCACCTGCATGTTTGAGCGTTACCACGGCGCCAACACAACTGCTGGTCAACTTACCCGGGCAGGAAGAGTAGTCGCGAATGTCGGAAGCGACAGCAGCGTGCCCAGGTGCTGGCAGCCATCTGGCGGCCCACCGGCTGCGCTACCACGACCATCGACAGCCAACGTCTTCTGCAAACTGCTCGCAGCAGCGCAGCTGGGCGGCAAGTCACGCACCGCCATGAATCCCTTGCCAATGATGATGGCGGGGTGCAGCATCCCCTTTCCCCATGACCACCTCGGCACGCGTCCTGCCATCTTTGACTGAGCTCGCCTCCCATGGCCTTCTTGAACGCGCGCCAATTCGTATGACTCGGGCTGTCAAACCCGCACAACACAATACGTCGCACTGGTCTGGTCGCTCCCAAGAAGCCCTGCTCAGTCCTTTCGGCCAGCCCCTCTTGCTCGGTTCTGCATTCCAACTCGGTGTCTGGGTGTTTAAGACAAGCACGATTCTGCTTGTGCGGATGCGAACAGATGGAGAACAAGAGCGCTATCAGTGCTACTTCTAGCGCATTCTCAGGACCACACCTCCCTAGGCTCCATATTGCCAGATGCGCCTCGGTCGAGATGGCTTCGGGCCCAAGAGGGAGACGACGGAAAAGCAGATGAAGACAGCGCCCGCCCCACCAATGCCGCTGAATAGTAGTGTATGTACAAGCAGCAGTGTACAACCACCGCCTTATCTCGACTCTCCCCTGCTGACGATCCATAGCCAAGCCTGAGCCTCACCACCAACCGCACACGCTTCCGAAGGGCCGCGCGAAAGCCATATGACTTTCGCATCAACGGCTCCTCCATACTCATACCACCGGCGCCCAAAAATCCTTCGACAGCGCCAATCAAGGGCACAGCCAACACCCCTACACAAACTCTGTCGCGCGTCGGCCGGCTTACACTCGGGACCACTGGCTGGCACACCGGACATGGACATGAACAGTGCGACGTGATGACTCAACGAGGGCGAGGATACCCGCGCCAACGTGCGGTCCTGGAGCGCACCCGGTCATACAATCACGAAGAGGCGAAGTCGGCCAGCGTAGACGCATCCCAAGCTTCCCGAGGAAATCAACCATAACATGTCGAAGCAACGCGTACTGAACGAGTAGCCTGCTTTAGTCCAAATTGAAAGCGCAGTCCCCTGTTCGGCGAGGTCAAAAGACCAAGGCCAGCATGCACGACTACTTCGTCTCGCACCACCCTGTTCGCCAAACCCGACGCCGAGTGGAAGGTCGTCTCTGCTTCTGTGAGAAGAGAACACCGGCCACATCAACTTTGACGACTCATACGACAACCGGGGTAGTATCTTCTTCTGCTTGCTAGAGGAGTAGCGGATTAGCTGCATTAACTGGGATACCTTACAAGAGACATACTGGGCTGGTTTGGGAGTCGGCTTTTCGGTTTGGACTCGCGCAACTCCAACGATCATGTGAATGAGCTCTCGTCGTCGGTTCTAAGTGAGTCACGGGCGAACAGCTATCACTCGCAGACCTGGGGCGACAGGGTCCATTGTTCAGACATGGAAAGAAAAGCGTGCGCATCACGCTAGACCGCACTAACAAGGACGGCTTTCGGACCCTCCCGCGAGGGCATCTCAGTTTTGCTTCGAACCTGATGCGTCCCTCGCTCCTTGAGTGTATGCTCGATGGCATTCGCGCCTTCGAATGATCGAACGGCTGTAGCACGAATGTTCTGCAAAATGGCCCACGTGGTTGCGGTCGGGGCTACGGCACAGCCAGGTGTTGGCTAGCTCTCGTGGGCAGTTAATGAAGGCTTTCAGGACTCGCGTCAAGCTTTCTTTGGCGGGATGATTTCGCATCTTTCGCGCGTCGCATCTCTTAGTCGGCTTTCGTGACAGGTCAAGAACCGCGATATCAAATCGACATGATCGACCACCACTTCACTACGCACGAAGGGAACTGAAGTGTCGAGGTGAAACGTTGGGGCGGAGAGCACGGCGCTTTACGAGCTGAGGTGCTGTTGTCATGTGTTTGCAAATGATCGCATCGTCTCTTGGAACGCGCCCTGCGCGATAAGGGCGACTTTTCGGGCTTCTGGATCACCAATAATGACGAGCAATGAGCAATGTCCCTTTACTCACTTATGTATTGCAGTCATGTCGTAGATGCTGTGACATATGCTCTCAAAGGCGAAGCAACAGATTGTCGTAGTGTTGCTAGATACGCTGTCTCTTTCCGTCTTCATCTGGGCAACCCGCAATCTAGACTAACTTTCGTTGCTCCGACCCGCGCACTCACCGACTGACGTTATCTTCCGACTCATTTTAGTACGCGCTCACTGTTTACGCTAAGCCTTCCTGGTTGCCAATTATCCTCTGTCACCTCACGCGCTGGTCTCTTCTCACCATTATGCGGCCTCGTCTCGCTGTGCCACCTTACGCAAACTAAATCACTTTTAACCCCACTGCAACATGAAGCAAGAATCGGCGACAAGCAATACCAGACACCAAGGGTTCGTCTGCAACAGGCTAAAAGACCTGATGAAGGGGATCAGGTCGATCGCTTGTCGGCAGATCAGCTTATCCAATCGGGGTCCCGCCTTCCTTGCAACGAGCGGAACTACAGTCAAGGAACCCGAGCGCGATGTTGGGGATACTATGAATATGAGTCCAGAGCAGCTCTTGATCGAGGCAGTTACCAAGGCGACTGGTGGCTACGATCATGGTGCAGTCTACAAGAACATGACATACGGCTTGGCCAGCGAAAAACGCTACCGACTTGCCCGCGCTAGTTCAGGTCTCTACAAGATCGAGAGCGATCAACAAAAGGACTACAAGAGCGGTGGACAGCTCTCGGTCTGCATCACCCCCCAGCGTAACCGCTACGAGGAGCGCGATCGTTTCGCCCACTACCAGGACACGCTTCAGCGCGACCAGCCTATCAATTTTGATGAAGAGACGAGGAACTTCGACCGCTTGCGCGAATGGCTGGATGGTGTTCCGCTGGATCATGGCGACTGGAGAGCGGACACGGAAGAAGACGGAGAGGATGAGAGGCTAAGCGATGACATCGACAGGCATCTGAACGATCACATCAATCGAGTGACGAGAGACTACAGACCTGGTGAGACTATTGCCCGGATCAAGGATGTCATGGATGCAGGCCACCGATACCATCGCGCTCGCCAAAGCGAAGAGAACAATCGTGCCACGGGCAATGATCAGGCTACGGTCAACTATTCAGTAAACAGCAACCACCAAGGTCCAAGCGACAGTCATTGCGCATTTCAAGATGGCCACGAGACTTGGGTCAACAGCAGCAGCGATCAGCGTGTAGCCTACGAGCATCAACAACATGAGTTGTACTACCATGCTCGGTAAGCGATGCGCACGCGAACACATCATGTCTACGGGTTCGACTACGATAAGAATAAGGAGGGTTGTGGGGAGGCCGTCTCGAATGAATGTAGGTAAGGCTTTCAGAAACGCTTCGATAATACAAAACTGACTCCAGACTAGCCTGTTTATTGCCTCCCTCAGGTAGACAGAGGGGTACTGCCGGAGGGTTGTTTGACGGTGTCGACGAAACGATGTACATTATAACCAACACTGCGGTGATCTTCGTCGGAGCCTACTAATCTGAAGGAGGGTTTATTCATCAGTATCCTGTATGAAAGACCGCTCTACAAGTTTACACAATGAAGGCGCCGAAGGCCCGAACTGCTAGCCTGTCTCGGGACATGGTGTCTCTTGACCAAGCGACGCACCTTATCGGGTTTTTGTGTCGCGGCTCGAATACAGTGTAGAAAGCGACAGCTTGTAGCAGAAAGAATCAGCAGGGTTGTGTAGATCTTGCCTGGTTTTTAGATTAGATACTCATGTGTTTGCTAAATGCCTACCTAGTAAAACACCAGATTACGCACCGCGCCGCTCTTCTGGCTGGCCCTGCTTGAAACATCTTTTAAATCAGCTTTAGTTTTGCATTACAAGACGCGACTTGTACAGATGAAGATTGTTATAAAAGGAACGTGATCTACCTAAAGACCTAGTATAGTATCCTGCCAACCGCCCTCACTGCACCACACTGTTCTGCCTGCTGCGGCCCGGCTGATGCGCCAGATCAAGCATGGCGCTCTCGCGCTTGAGCGTCATCTCCTTGTCTTTAGACCGGTACGGATACCCGGCCTTCTCGCGCGCGATGTCATTGATCCAGCGACTGTTCGGCTCGATCTTCCTCGAGCCGTTAGCCAGCTCATCAGCCAAGTACAGCCAGCTGAGCGCGTTACCGACGGTACTGACCTCATCACTGACGTGGTTGGCTGCGTAGTTGGCCATGGTCATGTAGGATACGTTATCGATGAAGAGGTGGTCGAGGTAGTTGGCCACCGCGTCATGCTCGCCTACGTCTACGAGGAAGCCTGATTTGCCGTGCTCGATCTGAAGTGGGATGCCTCCGCGGCGCGTTGCTATGACGGGGACACCGTGGTGCAGGGCCTCGGAGACTTTGACTTCGAAGCCTTCGCGCGTCGAGAGCTGGAGGGCGACGTGGGCGTTGGCCATGAGTACGTTAAGGAGCTGGTCCACGGGGCCAATGCGCATGACGATTACGTCGTGTTTGATGTCGGCGTAGAGGTCATTGAGCTCCTTTTCTGTCTTATCGAAGATGATGGTTGCATCGGGATCGTCGATGGCGCCGTGGCCGGCAATAACAAGTTGTGGGACCTCCTCGATGGGCTTGTCCTTCATGTATTCTCGCCGAAGAATCGCGTACGAAGCAAGAACGTCCGGGATACCCTTGGCTGGATCGAAACGAGCGATCTGTGTGATATATGGGCGTGCTGGGAATGCCAGGCGATTGGCACCCTTGTCGAGGCAGGCCATCTCAAACTCGTGCATGTAGTATTGTGCGTCCCAACTGTGCAGCTGCTTGTTCAGACCATCTAGCCAGTCTGTCGTGGCAGGAAGATAACCGACCTTCTCTGCAGTTACATTCTTGGGCACAAATTCGCGAATAGGGTGACTGATGAAAGCATCACACTGCTTCACGTTGTTCCATACCCAGTTCCAAACTTCAGCGGTGGGCGTACCTTCCTGATCTGGCAGATCGGCGCGTACTTGGATGTGACTTCTGAAGAGGACAGGACGGGAGGGGTCTAGCTCTTTGGCAATCTTGACAAGGGAGGGCATCTGGGGATCATCCACAATGATGATATCAGCACCGTCTTCCGCTCGAGGAGCAAGGGGACTACCCTTCGCGATCCAGTAGCGTTCGGCATTCTGCCTGGCCCACTCATCGAGGATGTCGATTGACTTTTGTTCGAGTCGAAGCCCGGTTTCATCCACACCCTGAAGTATGTTGTGGTTGTTCTTGGTGATACGGAAGACAGCGGGCTTAGGCTTTGGAATGTACCTGTGAAGTGTGAGCTATAGTCAGATGTACAGTGTAGAGTGACTTACCACTTGCAATCAACATCGATAATTCGCAGAAAGCGGATCAGCGCATGCCTCATCAGGGCGACACCGCCGCCCTGAGGGGTGCTGTTGAAGAAGGCAATCTTCGTGCCGTGTTTCTTGAGCGAATCAGCGTAGACCATGGCCGCCGCGTAAGTGTTGGGATGGACACTATCTCGATAGCTTGGCTCGTCTGCAATTACAGTTGCGCCATCGCTGTCCACACCAACCTCATTGCGGTAGACTACCTCCAAGCGAGGTTGGTTAGCCCTGCCGAAGTACCTGTATGTGTCAGCGGAGAGCTATACAAGGCTATCAGCATCTGAAGGCTTACCCTAGAGCTTTCCTTACCACTGCATCTGCTTCTTCATCTACTATCATGTACTTGGGTGCATCAGGAGTACCGGTGTTTTGCTTGCCAGAACTAGGCTCCAGCACCAATGGCACAATATCCAACTCGAGCCACAAGCGGGTTGGTAGCCAAGGACATGTCTTGCCAGCCTTTGTAGTTAGACCAGCACCAACAAACTTGTAGAAATGCTCATCACGGTAGTGCTTGATCTTGCTGATGATTTCCTCGACAAAGTAATCGGCACGCCCCTCAACCGTTGCAGGGGTTGTATCTCCAGAGTTGGCCGCGGAAGTTGCGGCTGAAGGCTCAGAGCTGCTATTTGATTCCGCACCTATGGAGATGGTTGCAAAGTCTATTGAATAGGTGCCGTCGTGGATAACAAACGCAATGTCAATTGAGCTACCAAGTCCATCGGCGACAGCGATACCTATGTACAAGGGCTGTGAAGATCAGTTTGCTTGTTTAGAGGAATGGAACATGAACCGACCTCGAGGGTCATCGAGCTAGACTTGTCTTGTGCGGATAGCTTGGCGTTGACGGATGTCTTTGCCATAAAGGCATCACGGGTCTTTTGGCGAACCATGGCTGGATGTCGAGGGAGAGATGTGTCGTCAAGAGTCCGAATGGTACCTGGCATGATCTATATTGAACAAAGGAATCTGTGCCGTACCGGGAGCAGCCTTGAACTCAAAATGCACCACCCGATGGGCACTTTTTGCAAGCCCTCCAACCCAATCACTGCATGCATGGGACTCTCGACGATAATTCGGCACAACAGGATGATGTTCTACCCACTGCCTCGGCACTATCAGGTCATGTGACAAAAATCTCATGAGGTGATGTGGGACGATTGCGTGAGCACGTATGACGTCATCATTCATTTCGAAAGCAGGGTCTCTGACCTACAGTCCGTTCAAGACTTGCTATATGCGGTCTTCGTATCCACTATCTAAGCCTCTGATGCAAACATGAGTAGAAATGGCACAGCAGTCGACACTTCCCATTTATTGCTGTGCGAAAGCAGGCCAGGGTGCATTGTCTTGCGTCTGTTCTATGGTATAGTCTTCCTTGCATTGGCTGGCTCTAACGACTCTTCCATGTCCTTTGACACGGAGTACTGACAAAGATCCTGCAGCTACTGCTCATATTTCTGGACATGTTTCCATGGTTCGTAGTTTGGCCTAGAATACACTCGCGTGTCCGGACAGTGGCGCACAAGTGACGCGCCTGATCAGTGTCTGGAGACGTACCATATACTGGAAGTCAGTCCGACATGGCTACGCTTCATGTGGCGTGATGTCTCCAAGCTACATGTTCTATAGAAGATGTCTTTAGTGCTGGTGGTGGCGTTGCGCATATTCCAAAGCTTCTTCTCTGTATTGTGAAAAGACAAGGTATACTAGGCTCGCCTTGTTCGAGGCAGAGAATATCCCAGGGACGCAAGTTAAGTAACAAGAGTTCAGTCGACCAGAAAGTAAATGCCTTCCGCTAGCAGCGCATTGTTATCGATTAGCTCATAAGATGCTAAGCTGACGAAAGCGTAACGTAGCATATTCGGCTATGACAACAATATCTCAGGATCTTTCTAGTCCTTCGGAGAACCCTCATGACCAAGCCATCAATGGCCCCTTGGCTCTGATTGTATCAGCGGTTGGGATATATCTACTGGTTCTCCTTTGCGGGTTAGTTCACTAGCGAGACCTATAGTCTCGATCGCGCTGACCTAACAACAGGATATTTAGTTGTTGCAGTGGCCGTAGAAACCCAGATCCCAGTACCCTTAAAAGTCGCTTGGATCGGCTCGAGGAGATACTTCCGTCGACAGAGTTCCTCAAATGGTACAAAGTAGACCAGACAAACCACCCACATGAATGGCACATCGACCAAGAAAGTCACACATGGTATGTCGTATCGTCTTATAAGCACCAGGCTTTGTTCCCTGCTAACGAGAACGCAGCGTTATCTGTTTAGATACAATCAAGGCAAACGATTCCATACGAGCGTTGAGTTGCCGACACATCTACCACGGGCAGTGCTTCGATAGATGGTTCACCGAGTTTCACGAATATTGCCCACTGTGTCATTGTCTCGTACTCGTCGCAGCGGACAATGCTGTGTAGTGCTCGTGTAGTAACCTTCGATCTGGATCGGAACGTTAGAACACTACTGTATTCTACGGATAGAACAATGAAGGAATGTGCACGGTGTTCTAGATCCTTGAATATGTTCAAGAGTGGCTTTCAGAGGCATTGTCAAGCACAAGCGACATAACGCTGCTCGGTTGTTTTCAAGGCAAGACGATGGCACAACCTATGCTTCCGCCCCAGTGATCTGTGTGGGTGCCTATCGCCCGTCTCTACCGATGTAACGACGAGTCTACAACTCCTGCGTGGGCTGACCGAAACCTAGACCCAGACGTCGAATGATATCAGACCACCAGAGCGCTACACAATTTCGGTATGCCAAGTGCTAGGAGGCGAGAAGGCTGCAGTGACTTTGTCGGCTTAAGGTTAGCCTTCTAATCACGCTAGACTAACATTCGGTACGAGAACTAATATAGGCCTGCCGCATAAGTAGTCTAGAGCTCCTATCGTCATCGGAGACGCTCGTAATGTAGCAGTCTTATTAGCGCAGCTGCTGTTAAAAAGCAAAATTATCTCTTTTACTAGGCGTTTATTTTTATTATTACTTAGAGTTTAATAGAGCAGATAAGTGCTACTCTAGTAATGCTACTTCTTAATCTACTAAATAAGTTACTCTAAGATATATTAGAACACTTAGAATCTAAGAAAGATATTAACGCCGTTACATAAGCTAACCGTCGCTTTTACTCTCTTCTAGATAGCTACCTCTACCGCTACAATATACAACAATCTAGAAGCTTAGCGCTATTATAGGCTATCTAATATAGTTAAGAGATAATAGCGCAAAAGTTAATAAGAGAAAAAGCTAATATATAGACTATAAATAATAATAACTAAGCTCTACTCTTATTAGTAGTAGAGAATAGGTATACGTAGGTAATAAAACTACTAGTTAATAAAGCTACTAATATTAACACGCAGAGTAGATACTACAGCAACGTACTCTAGGCAGCTTTAGCTAGAGACTATAAGGTAGTAGTAAGGCTACTACTAGACAAGAGCGCTAACGTTAACGCCTAGAGTAGATACTATAGTAATATACTCTAGGCAGCTTTAGCTAGAAGCTATAAGGTAGTAGTAAGAATACTACTAAATAAGAACGCTAACGTTAACACGCAGAGTAGATATTATAGTAACATACTCTAGGTAGCTTTATCTAGAGATAATAAGGTAGTAGTAAAGTTACTAGTAGTATAGAGTACTAACTTATTATAAGAGAAATATATATATAGCTAGCTAATTAGAGATCTTAAAAGTAGATAGCTATATTCTAAAACCTATATCTTAGTAATAATAGTAGGTAGTTAAATACAACGCTAATAGCGATATTTATACTACTATAATAAAAGTAGTATATAGTATACTTACTACTATAAGCTAAGTAGATAGCTAACTTATATCTACTATTCTCTTACTATAGATATCCGCACTAAATAGTATTATAAAGAGATAGAAAGTCTATAATTAATAATAGAATAGTATATAGCCTTAGATAGCGTAGTATCTTATTATATATAGATACTATAAGATCTCTACTCTACCTTACTAGCGCTTATAAGTATCTATAAACTAAACTTCTTATAAGTCTTAGAAAACACTCTAAAGTATCTTTCTACTCTAGTAATTAAAGTACTTACGCGAGAAGCTATTTGTTATATAACTATATAATAGCTATATTCTTAAGAACTCTAACTCTAACTTATTATACTTTCTTAGACAAGCTAAGTTAATATACAGCTATAGTTAGATATATATATTACTTATAATATACTTAAAAGCATAAGAACGTAGTAGATTAAACGTAGAATTAATAGTAGGTCTACAGAGCTAAAGAGTAGCGCGATAGTTTATCTCTATTATATATAAGTATTAGCGTTAGCTATAGTTACGTGTTATACTATATCTTAAAGTTATATAATAACTATATTAGAAGCTAATTATAGTTTTACTACTAGGTATATTTATAATACACGCTATATAGTAGAGCTATTAGACGTAGCCTTACTTCTTATTCTTACTAGTTTCTAGGTATCTTAATACGCTTAGCGAAAGCGTTGCATAGTATTATAGTAACTACTATAGTTTCTCTAATATCTAAACGCGCACATAAACGCTAAGTACTTAGTAAGTACCTAGATTCTATTAGTTAGCTAGCTAGAGCCTAAGCGCCGCCTATATAGACTCTACCTATATTTTCTTACTACTTAAATATTCTACTACTATTCTCTTACGCAACGTATTATATTATACTAGATATTATACGTAGTTATAATTAACGCTTCTAGTAAGCTTATAAACACGTGCTCGTAGTATTTTATAATATATAGCTATATAGCTATATAGCTATAGATCTAGTATTAGTAGTAATAAATTAAAGCTAAGCTACTTTAAGCTAGATACGCAGGTTCTTCTTATATAGTACTTCTAGTAGGTTTTTTCTTAAGTGTTTACGTAATACGCTCTTATCTACTATAAGAAAAGCGTATATCTTATAATAGAGTATTATATAGAGTTAGACTATATTTCTCTAAGCTTAGTTTATACTAAGATAAGATAGGCTAAAGTAGTAGTTTATAAGGTTTGTCTAGTAATTTAGTAGAAAAGAGTTATTATAGAATAACTAAAGATAAAGATAATCTAGTTTTATAAATAATTATTACATAGTTAGATATAGATATTATAGATAGAATAGTTAGAAGAAAGTGTATATTATATTATTTATAGTATTCTAGCTAAGCTTATATAAAGACTATTATATAGCGTTATTAGTAATAAGGTTCTTAATAGCGCTTAGTCTATAATAATAATAGAATAACTAACGTGCTCTACTACTAAATAGCGTACACTACTAAAATAGCGCACTATACTAAGACTACACTACCTTCTACTATCTCTTTAATACTATAATAATCTAATCTTAAATTACGTTCTTAGATAAATAGAATTATTCTTACTATTTAGACTATAGAATCTAACGCGTTAGTAAGCCTGTAACGTACTATAGCTATATATAACGTACCTAAAACTACTTTTTAAAGGTAACGCGCTAAACTAGCTTCTAATTATAATACTTACTATAATATATTAAAGCTATAGAGGTATAAAGAGAAGATAATTATATAGTTTATTAGAAAGCTTAACACGCAAGGCTTTATCTTTATACTTAGCTATATATAAAAGATAGCTAACTAACTACTAGCTATACGTAGTAGTAGCTAGGTTAAAGAAAACTAGACCTATAGGCTTATACGCCGAAGACCTAAGATTAAATCTTAGGTAATAAGATAGTAGAATTACTAGTAAGTTTTATATAGTAACTTAGCTATTATTAGACTCTAGTTTAATCTTATACGTAACGTTAAGGCTAAGTATAAGATTCTAGACAAAGACATTTATAATTTTAATAAAACTAGCTTCTAGATAGACGTTAGAGAGTCTA